AAGCCATCTGGCCCTGGGCTTTTGTTTGTTGGGAGATTTTTGATGACTGCTTCAATTTCCTTAGTGGTTATAGGTCTGTTTAGGTTTTCTATTTCCTCCTGGTTCAATTTTGGTAGTTGATACATCTCTAGGAATGCATCCATTTCTTCCGGGTTATCTAATTTGCTGGCATAGAGTTGCTCATAATCACTTCTTTCTATAGGCGTTTCCTCCCTTTGTTTTTCTTTTCTTCTTTTTTTTTTTTTAATATTCCTTTGTTTTTATTTGAGAGGGGGGCCGAGGGAGAGGGAAGGAAGAGAATCCCAAGCAGACTCCATACCACACGGCTTGATTCCACCACCCTGAGATCATGACCTGAGCCAAAATCAAGAACTGGATGCTTAACCAACTGAACCACCCAGGTGCCCCTAGTTTTGTGTCTTAATTGAGGTGGTGATTACACAAATCTAAAATGTGATAAAATGGCATAAAGCAATCATTCACGAAATGTATACCGATGCCAATTTCCTGGTTTTGTTATTGTGCTGTATTTAAATAATAGGTAACCATTAGAGGACCCTGGTAAAGGGTGCACAGAAATTCTGGTACTGTCCTTGATACTTCCTGTTGAATAAGTTTATAAGTCTTATACCTGTCTGTAAGTATTTCAAAATAAAAAGTTAAAATATTACATAGCTTAACTTATCCACTATCTTTGCAGCTCCCTCTGGACAAGTACCGCTCAAAAGCCTGGGAGAGCAGGCTGGGTGTCCCTGTTCCATTTCCTGGTCTGGCCTGATAAGGAGGCTTGTCTCAGAGGACAAGCTTGGGAAGTGTGGCTTTCCTTGTAGTCCAGTCATGCACAGTGCTGGGATCTCTTTCATGTCCCATCATGGGCAATTTATTTATTTATTTTAAAAATTTTATTTATTTGTCAGAGAGAGCACAAGCAAGGGGAGTGGCAAGCAGAGGAAGAAGCAGGCTCCCCGCTGAGCAGGGAGCCCGATGTGGGACTCGATCCCAGGACCCTGGGATCATGACCTAAGCTGAAGGCAGACACTTAACTGACTGAGGCACCCAGGCGTCCCCATGATAGGAAATTTAGAACTAAAATCAGTTTAGCCCTCCACTCTCTCTTGCTCTCTCTCAAATAAATAAAATCTTAAAAAAAAAAAAAAAGACACAGGACTATTTCATGACCACAAAGTTCTCCCTGGTGTTCGTTCGTTCTTTCTTTCTTTCTTTCTTTCTTTTTTTTTTTTAAGATTTTATTTATTTATTTGACAGAGAGAGACACAGCAAGAGAGGAAACACAAGCAGGGGGTGTGGGAGAGGGAGAAGCATGCTTCTCACAGAGCAGGGAGCCTGATGCAGGGCTCGATCCCAGGACCCCAAGATCACAACCTGAGCTGAAGGCAGATGCTTAACGACTGAGCCACCCAGGCATCCCTCCCTGGTGTTCTTTCTTTATAGTCACACCGACCTATTCTTCACCCTCATCCCTAACTAGGTGACCGCTAATCTGTTCCCTGTCTCTATAATTTTGTACATGACATAAATGGAATCACAGTGCGTGACCTTTTGAGATTAGTTTTTTTTCAGGCAGTATAATACCCTCAAGAGCCATCCAGGTTATTGCAGTTTATCAATAGTTCATTCCCTGTTCTTTCTGGGTATTCAGTTATATTGGATCTACCAGTTGTTGTTGTTTTTTTTTTTAATATTTGCCTGTTTTTAATTTTTTTTTTTTTTAAGTAGGCTCCACACCTAACATGGGGCTTGAACTCATGACCCTGAGGTTAAGAGTCATATGCTCTACTGACTAAGCCAGCCGGTGCCCCTAAAACATTCACCTGTTAAACTTACCTATTAAAACAACATTTGATTGTTTCCAGTTTGGCTATTACAAATAAAGCTTCTGTGAGCATTTGTGGACAGGTTTTCGTATGGACATAAGTTTTCTTTCTCTGGAATAGATGCCCTGAAGTATGATTGCTGGTAAGTGTATGTTTCTCTTTTAAAGAAACTGACAAACTGTTTTCCGGAGTGGCTGTACCACTTTGCATTCCTACCAGTAATGTATGAGCAATCTAGTTTCTCCTACATCCTTGCCAGCAGTTAATGCTATATAATATTTTCCTGGTTAATGGCTTTATTGAGCTATAATTCATATCATATACTTCACCCGCTGAAAGTGGACAAATCAGTGATTTTAGTATATTCACTCAGTTGTGCAAGCATCACCACAATAAATTTAGAACATTCTTATCACCCCCAAAAGAAACCCGTACCCAGTAGCCACCACACTCCATACCCTATCCCTTCAGCCTAGGAAACCAGTGATCTACTTTTCTACAGATTTGCCTGTTCTGGACATTTAATGTAAATCAAATCATAAAATATGTGGTCCTTTGTGACTGACTGCTTTGACCTAGCATAATGTTCTCAAGATTCATCCACATTGGAGCACATATCCATAGTACTTCATTCCTTTTCATTGCCAAATGTATAGTATTTTTAAAGAAATAAAAGTGTGTTTATTTCCATTATACAGACTATAAACTAAGATAACAAAATGCTGTTACAGAGAGAGGTTTTGCTGGGCCTGCTTGGAGGTCTAGCTTGCAATTAACCTAAGGGCAAATTAATGCTATTTTAAATATTTAGCAGTTCTCTATAAAATATGCTTTTTGTTTATTTAGCAACAGTTCTGAGTAGCTCTCCTGAAAGCCTACTGGGATCTTTCTAGAGAACCTATGCAGAGGGTGGTGAGTGTCAGCGACTCAGGCCAGGGACAGGTCAGCAGGCCACAGTGTTCGAGAGCTGGAATAGAGCGGTGCACCAGACAGATGCATTCCGGGATCTTTCTAGGCCCTTTGCTCTCCCCACTCAGTTTATAGATCATCTGATCCACAGTGCTTATGGCCCAGGACAGAAACTTCTGCTGCTACTAGTCCCTCCCAAAGGACCATTTATATATGCAAGTATCATCAGTATTGTGAGGAATAGTGAAGGAACCAGGTGAATGGATGGTCATCTTGTCTCTAAGCGCTTAGTGTCTGGCAAGGAATCTGAGGCCTGGTCCTAAATTACCCTAAATAACCAAGTACACGTTTGAACGGGATGTGTGCCGCTTTAAATATTAGGAAATATTTTACCCATCCAGAAAAGAACAAAGAACAATGAAACAAATACCACGTTCTTACCACCTGTCTTTGTTTAATTTTAACATTTTTGCTCTATGTGCTTCATTATTTTTAAGCAAATAAAACCTCTCCTATATTCAGCAATAAAAAGGAAGGAACTATTGATACATGAAACAATTTACAGCAGTCTCCAGGGCATTATGCTGATTGAATAAAATCAGTCCTCAAAAGGTTACACACTGTAATGATTCCGTTCACATACATTCTTGAAATGACCAGATTATAGAAATGGAGAACAGATTCCTGGTGGCCAGGGGTTAGGGATGGGGTGGGGATGGAGGGAAGTGGGTGAAAAGGCAACATGAGGGATCCTTGTGATGGAAATGATCCCTATCTTGCTTGTATCAGTGCCAGTATCCTGCTGTGAGATTGTGTTAGAGTTTTGCAAGATGTTACCATTGAGGAAATTGGGTAAAGGGTACATGGAACCAGTGTATTATTTATTATAACTGCATGTGAATCTCTATCTCAAAATTAAAAATGTAACTCAAAACAAAACAAAACACCTTCAGATGCCATTAAAGCCCTTGTTTTTTTAAAGATTTTATTTATTTGAGAGAGAGAGAGAGAGAGAGCACATGAGGGGGGAGGGTCAGAGGGAGAAGCAGACTTCCTGCTGAGCAAGGAGTCCGATATGGGACTCGATCCTGGGACTCCAGGATCATGACCTGAGCCGAAGGCAGTTGCTTAACCAACTGAGCCACCCAGGCACCCTAAATCCCTTTTGATATGTCCTCAATTCCATTTCTCTGCTTCCCTTTCCAGAGGTTGCTACCATCCTGAATTTATTGTTAATCACGTCCACAAAATTTTTAATACTGGTGCTCCATATGTATATATCTCAATACTACCTAGCATTGTTTTACATATTTTAAATTTAAAAAAATAGTATTCTACTCTATCTACCTTTCTGGAACTTCCCTTTTTTTTCTTTACAGTGTTTGTGAGGCTACCCATGTTGATATATGATTTTGTAGTTTGTTCATTTTGACTGTTGTTGAGAATTCCATGGTATGGATATATTACAAGTTAATAACCCACTCTCCTGTCATGGACATCTAACTTGTTTCTAATTTCCTGTCGTTATCAGCAGTGGTACAGTGAACATTCTTGTCTCCATTCCTCATGTATAGGTGAAGTTTCTTAAAGGTAGGATATATCTAGGAGTAGAACTGATTGGCTTGACACTGTGAGCATTTTTAACTTTTCTAGTTATTGCCAAATTGTTTTTTGGAGTGGTTGCCACAGGTTACATTACCATATCCGTACATGAGACTTCCCGTTCATTACAGTCTCAGCAACATTTTTATATTTTGTCAATTTGATGGGCATGAAATGGCATCTCACTGTGGTTTTTTTGTTTTGGGTTTTTTAAAAAGATTTATTTATTTGAGAGAGAGCGCACGTGCGAATGCAGGGTAGAGGGGAAGAGAGAGGAGAGAGAGTCCCGAGCAGACTCCATGCTGAGCGTGGAGCCCAATGCTGGGCTTGATCCCATAATCCTGAGATCACAACTTGAGCCGAAACCAAGAGTTCGACTCTTAACCAAGTGAGCCACCCAGGCGCCCCCATTGTGGTTTTACTTACTCACATTTGCCTAGTTACTAGTGAACTGAGCATCTTTTCATTTGTGTATTAGCCATTTAAATTTCTTCCTTTGTCAATTACCTGTATCAGCTAGAGTTTAGTTAGAGAGAATACAAGTCATTCTGTTTTAACCAGAGTTGGAGGCTCAGCTGACAGCACCATGCAGGTGTCCCTCCATGTCTTTAAAGAGCATGCAGGTACCATTGTTTGTTGAGCTTTTGGTTTAGGTATTGTTCTTTGACTTTCTACTGTGGAAGATGAGGATTTAGTGGGTTTTTTACTCCCCCTCTACCACACATATATGCCCCTCCCATTACCCTGTTCTCCCAGTGTAGTTATACATAATACTGTTTAGATCACTTGCATTATAATGTATGTAAATCGTATTTATAACTGAACCAGGCAGTAACATACAATTACTTTTATTTTTTCTACACAATTTTTTAACAATTGTTTTGTGTTTGTTCGATGGTTTGTCTCTTAGTTTTGTATGTATGATCTGTGTGATTATCTCTAAAGATGTACCGTATTCTTTACAAATTCAATAAATCTGTTCTCAAGACATTCTAGCACCTTCTGAAATACTATAGACGGTTTGCCATCTGCCTGTAGCCAACGGTCAATCCTAGGATTTTCCTTCCCCTGTCTGGGGATTTCCTTGGCCCCTCTCACATTAAATCACCAGTCCCCGGTACCCTATGTCTTCCCCTTTCCTATTTCTTTATTTTGGTGGAGCACATTCTCCCATAGTTTCCTGAGAAGAGGAACATACAAAGATAAATTCTCTAGGCCTTCAAGGTTCTGCAATTTCTCCTCAATGTGTCTAGGTGTGGATTTTTAAAAAACTTATCCTGCTAAGGACTTGTACTTCCTGGATCTAAGAATGCATATTTGTTATAAATTCTGGACAATTCTTACTCTTATCTCTGTGAATATTGCCTCTCCTCACTTTCTTTATTCTTGCCTTCTAGAACTCAGATTTGATGCATGAACCTTCTTATTTCAATATCCAGATCCCTTAAACTCTCTTTCATATTTTCCATGCTTTTCTCTCTGTTTAGCAGTCTGGATAATTTCTTCAGATCTGTATGCCCTTTTGCTATTTCTCTTTTCTAGAGAAAATCTAGAATGTTTAATCTGCCTATTCAGTGTTTAATTTCAAAGGCTTAATTTTTAATTTCTGTAAGTTCTGTTTGGTGCTTTAAAAAATCAAAATCATACAGGTCTTTATTTTTTTTATAATATGTTTTTTTTTCCCTGCTTATTTTAGTTTTTACCTATAGTTTGACTCTCTGATGTTCTTGGGTTCTAATCCTGCTCATTGCTGTGGAGTTCTTGTAATTTTGGAGTGCAGACTCATCTTCAGGACAGGGTTAGCTGCTGGAGACATTTTATTTCTATGAGCACTCAGAGTAGCATTAGTCCAGAGCTGTTCTTGTTGATTTCTCAGCTTTGGGTTACCTGGGCCACATGTATAGTTACCAATTTGAACCTAAAACCCAGCGAGGGCCGGCCTGTTTTTATGAATTGTCAGAGAGGACTTTTTGTCCTCATGTAGGACCCAAGCCAAGAGGACTTCATCTTCTGTGTGAGTGGGGGACATTTTTTTTTGATTCACCATTTCACTGGAGGCTTTGGGGGTCCCAGTTCTGTAAAGAAGCTTATCTCCTGTTCCTGCCTGAACACCTGCACCCAAGTCCCTGGTTGCCTGAACTTGGCAATGCCCTTTTCCCTGCCCACCCCTCTGCTCGGGGCCCCAGGCACATCCGCTCAGCTGCTCCTGCTCTGCTTTCCAGTTCTCTCTGTTTGGGGACCCTGCTGTTTCCTTTCCTCTCTTGCAAGCCCTGCCGGGCCATGAAGAGGAAGTTGGTTATACCTGACCCAGCATGTCTAGGATGTTTTGTAGCAGGGAGGGTTTTCAGGCCATGTTGTCCACAGTACTGTCACTTGTACTTTTAAGCCTAGAGATAAAGGGGTTGTGGGAGTTTCAGGGACGGAAAGTCCATCCGGCTGGGAGTATCAGGAAAAGGAAGGGAAGATGAATATCCAAGGGTAGAGACATGGGAGGGGGCCCAGCAGGTGCAAAAGCACAGAGGCAGGAAATGACCATGCAGGCCTGGAGGAAAACATGTAGCTCTCTTTGGCTGGAGTATGGTCTGTGAAGGGAAAATGAGCTTGGAGCCGGACCACAGAGCAGCAGGGAGCCGTTCAAGCCTCACAGCATGGAATGCCAAGATCAAAAGCTTTATTTCAGGGGGGCCTGGGTGTCTCAGTCGGTTGAGTTTCTGCCTTCAGCTCAGGTCATGATCCCAAGGTCCTGGGGCCGAGCCCCACATCGGGCTCCCTGCTCAGCGGAGAGCCTGCTTCTCCCTCTCCCTCTGCCAGTCGCTCTGCCTATCTGTGCTCTCTCTCTATCTCTCTGTCAAATAAATAAATAAAATCTAAAAAAAAAAAAAAAAGTTTTATTTCAGGAAGTTTAAGCTGGAAGCGCTTCCAGGATGCATGGGTGTGGGTGGCAGCAAGAGAGAGAGGGCTTTAGACTTGGAAAGGTGCTCCTGGAGGCTGTGGAAAGAGCCCAGGGGAGTCGTGAGACCTGAGTGGGGTAGTGGGGGTAGAGAGGAGGGAACCCCTGGGAGAGAGGGTGGGAGAGACTTGGCTGAACCAAATAAATCTGGGTCAAGAGCTGGGGGAAAAATAGAAGAAAAGTTAGGCAAGCACATTATCTGAATCCTGGAAAATGTCAACAATTATGAGCCATGTTCTACCTTTTAAGATTGTTCAGATACTGCCCACAAATGCTAATACACAGTTCATTTTTGCAGTGTGCAAGCTAGAGATGTTTTTAGGCCGCTTGATGAATAGTTGTCTTTGGATTAGAGACAGCGTGTTCCAGTAGAGCTCCCGGAAGTGAGTTGGCATGTGTTTGCCTTTCCTAGAACCTGCTGACATGGCTGACCATGAGACTGATGAGCCATCCTCCAGAACAGGGAGTCCCGATGGAGAAGGCCGGGTCTCTGGGGAGAGACTGTTGCTGCATCAGAGGCTGGCTGTCAGGGAGCTCATTGACACTGAGCTCTCCTACCTGCACATGCTCCGCCTCTGTGCTTCCGACATCAGGAGCTGCCTGCAGCAGGTACTGGGGCTGCACATAGCTTCCCGTAATAGGGGCAGACACGGGTCCTGGCTTCTGAGACCCACATCTCTTCCAGGGGCAGGCTTGATAGAGGGGAAGGTGTGGTGGCTGTGAAGTCACCTGGATGTAAGCTGGGGTATTTCCATTTATTGGCCATGTGGCCTTCAGCAGGGCCTTTAACACATCGGAGCCTTAGTGTATTCATCTGGTAAATGGAGAGAGGAATAGTCACCTCAGAGAATTAAGTGAGCTAATGGATAAAATAGCCCTTTATCAAATTTAGAACAGATTGCTTAAACTGACCTATATTCTAATTGTCTCATTTAGGAGATGGCAACAGGAAGAAGTTATCACTATGATGGGTTTTTACATCTTTTTTTTCTCCTGATTTCAGAAATAATACAGGCTCTCTCTATAAAATGTAAAGTATCCCTTAGCATGTAAGCTCCATTAGGGCAAAGACTGTTTAGTTCAATATAACCCCAGTTCTGGACTCATAAATCAGAGACTTTAATTAGTGTTTCTTGAATGAATGAAGGAAATACTAAAGTAAGAAATGTGGAAGGTGAAAGTCCTCTCATATTTTACCCTCCAGAAATTGGGATTTTTCTCTCTAGGCATTAAACAAACAACTACAGATTGTTACTTATTCTAATAAAAATAAGAGCATACTCTAGAGATTTTCCTAGTTAGGTTTTCCTACTTGATTGTGCATCCAGGATAGTCACACACACACACACACACACACACACAATCTCCTGTACACACCCACGCACATATATAGATGTCCTGCAGTGGTATTGCCAGTGTATAGTAGCTGGGGTTCAGAATACATCTCAAGGTAATGGTGGTGAGTGCCAAGTATGTCAGAGCTGGAAGGAAGTCCAGCTTTACACCCTAATATGACAGGGAAACTGAGGCAAGAAACATGATGGCTGCCAGCAGATCTAGGCTAAAACCCCAATTCAGCTTTCATTCCATGCTGAGCCCTCCGTCTCTTCCTCTCTTCTTGTAGAGTAATGAGAACACCTAATTTATACCTAATTTATAAGGTTTTTCAAAGCCTTGCAAACATTCCACTGGGGCGATCTTCCCAGGAGTAATAGGACCCTGAAGGTGTGAATGTTCTGGACTGATCTCCAAAGCTTGCAAATAAAGTCACTCTTTTCAACTCCCAGAGACTCCTATGGTTTCTTTGTTCCTTCTAGCTGCCCCAGGGAGATTTGGATGTCCTGTTCTCAAACATCGATGATGTCATCAAGGTGAACAGCAGATTTCTTCATGATCTGCAAGAGACAGCATCCAGGAAGGAGGAACAAGTGCACTTGATTGGTGAGCAAAGACAAGGCCATCATCAGCCCTAGATTCCTGTGGAATTGTCCTCAGCATGTGGGCATTGCAGAACTGTCTCCGGAGTTCCAGGAAAATGCAGCTCAATGGGAGTTTCTTTTGGGGAATCCCTGAAACACAGCATGTCACAGCCAGTAGGACCCTCAAATAATATCCAGCCCCATCCCATCACTTTACAGAAGAGGAGACCGGGGCCCAGAGACAAGGAAGGACTAACTGGTCAGTGACCCAGCTGAACCTTTACTTATTTACTAAGCTTAGTTATATACTGAGCATTGCCAGTCACTATGCTGTGTGCTGGGGTCACAGCATCAACAAGTGAGTCCAAGTTCCCATTCTTAAGGCTTGACAAGTTAGTGAGAGACAATAAACAGATAAACAAGAGAATTTTAGGTAATAATTTAGAATTTGAAGAAAAACAAATGTAGTAACCTTTGGGCATGAGAGTAGTCCTCCTAAGAAGGGGACATTTGAACTGAGACCTGAATATTAGGAAGGAGACAGCTATGAGATGTGGAGGGAGAGCAGAGAGAATGGCTGTGCAAAGGCCCTGAGGCAGGGGTAAGCCTAGAATGTTTGAAGGACAGACAGAAAGAAGTCTAGTGTCACTCCAGGGGAGTTTGTGAGGGGATTGTGTTAGGAGATAAGATGGAAGAGGCGGAGAAGGACCAGATCATGTAGGGCCTTCTAGGCCATGGTAAGGAGTTCAGATTTTATTCAGAATGTGATGAGAAACTATTGGATGGTTTTGAGCAGGAAAGCGATATGGTCCCATTTATGTTTTTGATGACCTCTTTGGCTGTTGTGGACAGTGGGTTGTGAGGGAATGGCAAGCGTGGAAGCATGAGACCTGCAGGGGCCTCACTGTCACCCTGGTGAGTGATGGTGGGAGTGTCCTCATTCTGGAATGGTCAGGAGGACCCTCTAGAGCATAAAGGAGGAGGGACGTGTCGTTATAAACCTCACACCTGTGTCCCTCAGTCTCTTCTCACTTGTTGCCCTGGGTCACTTGACAGAACCTCAGGGTCAGGGGTTTTTGAGTGGAGTCAGGCAGGTAAGGTGTAGGGGTGCCGGGTAGAGAAGAGCTGTGAAGCTCTGTACAAATATGAGAATTATGAATATTATTGCCGTAAATATCGCTACACTTTATTAAGACTCCCAGGGCACCAGCCCGAGCTCTGCATCATTCTGTCCCATAATTCTTACGGCAGCCTTTTGAAATGAGATGAAAACATGGAAACTCAGGAAGAAGAGGTAACTTGCCCAGAGTGACAGAACTGGTTAGGCCTATCAGTCTCCCTCCCAAGCTGAGGGCTTAGCTGTCTCACTCACCACTTCCATTTCCCAAGTGAGGGGACGTGCAGACATGCCTTTGAGGGCTCCTTGTTGCTTTTGCACCATCAGGTAACTTATTCCTGGAATGCCATGAGGAGTTGGAGCGCGTCTACAAGGTGTACTGTGCTAGCTACGACCAGGCCTTGCTGCTGCTTGACACCTATCGGAGGGAGCCAGAGCTGCAGCGAGAGATTCAGAGCATCATTGAGGCTGTGGTGTGAGTAGCAGACCAGTGAGCATGCCCCTCTGCTGCCATTGACCCTGGGGTCAGGAGCTGTCCAGGTCTCACCCCTCCTTGGTGCGGCTCATGCTGCTGCAGGAGGGTCTCAGTCAGGTCAGGCTGCAGGGACACACAATTCCTGACTTTCGGTGGCTTCCAGTAACAGAGGTTTATACCTTCCTGTGCTCCCCTGCGGGTGACCTGAGGCTCTTCTCTGTGCCATCCTCACTCCAGAGAGCAGCCACTCTCTGGATTATTGCCAGTAACTGTGGCGAAGGGCAAGAGAGCTCTTAGGGGTGGGGGGACGGCCCTGGGTGGCTCATTCGTTTAAGTGACTGCCTTCAGCTCAGGTCATGATCCCGGAGTCCCTGGATCGAGTCCCACATTGGGCTCCCTGCTCAATGGGGAGTCTGCTTCTTCCTCTGACCCTCTTTCCTCTCATGCTCTCTCTCACCCTCTCTCAAATAATAAATAAAATCTTAAAAAAGAGAGCTCTGGGAAGTCTGATGCTGGTAATCAAGTGCTCCAGACCAGAAAGGATGTTCATCACTTCTCATAATTCATAGGCCAGAACAAATTCCATGACTTTGTCCAACTGCCCGGAGGCCAGGGTGTGCCACCCTGCCTGGGTGTCCAGAGGTGGAAAAGCAGAAACATTCGGTGGACAGCACTCATGTCTCCCATGGGAAGGGTGGTGAGCTGGGGGGGAACCACATGCTGTAGGCAGCAGTGGCATGAAGCAGGTCCGGATCACCTCAGAAGGCCTCTCCACAGAGAGCAGAAAACTGCCCCATGAAACGGGAACAAAGCTGCCCTGGCTGGCCTCACCACCCAGAGCTAGCACCAGTGGGTAGAAACTCTAGATAGAGATATGTAGAGAACAGATATTTTTAAAATTAAAATTTTGAGTGGAGAACAGTTACGTGGTTCAGAAGCTTTAAAACATCCAAATTTATGCAGCACAATCCTGTCCTGTCTAATCCTGTCCCTTCATCTACCCAAATACTACTCCCAGCCCCAAAGTCAAGCTAACCACTTGTAAATTGCTTGTGAATCTTTGCAGATTTCCTTTATGCATATAGAAGCAAATACAAATACATGCTCTCATTTTACTGCCTTTTTAAAGAAAGTTTGTATCTTTTTTTCACTTACCATATATCTTGGACATCTTTCTATTTCAATACATACATGTATGAGCCTTTGAACAGCATGTTCTTCTACCACATGGCTGCTCCCCAGTTTATTTAACTGGTCTCTATTAATGGACATTGATTTGCTTCTTTTCTTTGGAGATTACAGATAGTGTTGAGTGATTATTCATGAGCATATGTCATTTTACTCAAGTGCAAGTATTTTTTTAAGGTTTTATTTATTTATTTTAGAGAGAGTATGCATGAGTGGGGGGAGTGTGCACAAAGGGAGAGGGAGAGAGAATCTCAAGCAGACTCTGTGCTTACTGTGGTGCTCAATGCAGGGCTTGATCTCATGACCCTGAGACCATGACCTGAGCCAAAATCAAGAGCTGGATGCTCAACAAACTGAGCCACCCAGGTTCCCCACAGATGCAAGTGTTTTTGTAAGGTGAATGTCCAGTCATGGACTTGCTAGGTCAAAGAAAGTATGTATGGATAATTTTGCTAATATAGCAAAATTTCCTTCTATAAAAGCTATACCATGAGCAAGGTGTGCGTGTCTATTTCCTCATAGCCTCACCAGAGTGTGTCATTAAACTTTAGAATATTTGCAACTGAAAGAGGTGACAAATGGTGTCTCAGTGTGGTTTCATTTTGCATTTATTTCTCATGATTAAAGTTGGTCATTTCTTTGTATCTTTAAGAGTCGTTTATATTTCCTTGCCTGGGATTGTTCTGCTGCTTTTCTGTTTCAAAAAGCCTTCTATCTTCCCCAGGACAAGCTCCCCAAATGGAGATAGATGAAGGTCATTTTCTGGAAATCAGAATAGTGTAGGAGGATGAGAGGCTACTATTATTTGATCTTATTTAGACATTCCCTTTACACCCAAGAGAAAGACTGTGTAGATTTAGATCTTTGAAGATGATGTTATCTCCTGTGGGAGCTCCTGCTATCTCCCCTCCCCTTCTCCCTTGCCTATACCCTCAACCCCTTGAAGCCTCCTTTTCAGTTACCCATGTCCTGGCCCCCTCTACCCCACAAAAAACTACATTCACTTTCCCCTTTGATTCATCCTTCCAAGGGTCTTACAAATTTAGGCTTTTGCAAGGGTCACTAAATACATTTCAATATGAGAGAGCTAGGTAACGAAAATGAGGGAAGCAGGGTGGCAGGTGTGGTGCAAAAGGGAGCAGTGGAGACTATGGCCAACCAGAGCCAACAGACCCCATGTAGAGGGCAGCTGCAGCCCTGCTTCTGCTGATGTTTGCTCTATCGAGTAGCTTTCGCTGTATAACAGACTGCCCCAAAACAGAACGGCTTAAGACAGACATCTGTTTGGCTCACTCTGCTGCACATTAGCAATATAGCCGGGCTCAGTAAACGATTCTTCTAGCCCTGGCTGAGCACCTTCACGTTTCACGTACCTGTGATCAGCTGTAGGTCAGCTTTGCTGATCTTGGCTGGGCTCTCTCATGTATCTGAGATGCGTGAGCTGACTCAGCTCTGGCCATACAGCCTCTCATTATCTGGCAGGTGGCCCAGGCTTGCTCACATGGCGGTCACAGGGTTGAGACAGGGAGAGAGCAGGAGGGAGGGAAAAGGGAGGTGGAGGGCAGGGGAAGGCCTTTGGAGGTCTTGGCATTCTGTGACAGACCGAAGGGGTGGAAAAATAGATCCTACTTCTCAAGCGGAGGGGTCCTGGGGTCCTATTCGAAGTGGATACAGCAGCCATCACAACAAAGGGTGTGCATACTGTGAGTAGAGTAATTACAGCCCTATTTTACAAACCATCCGCCTCAGTTGCCATGTAGGAATATGAGTCCACTGTGGCCAGATCCTCTGATTTTTGAAAAGAAGTCAGAAACTTTGATATAACATCTCCCAGGTACCAAATACTGGCATCTAGCTCAGACATGTTAGAAGCACTGTTGGGGGGCCCTAGTTGGCACAGAGGCTGCGGTTTGTCATGCCTTCCACAGACTGGTCTTTCCCAGCCAGACCAGTCTGGACTCTATGGGACCTGGTGCCACACTGCCCAGTGGCAGATCTGGCTCTGCCCCTAACTTACCTTAGCAGAGCCGTTTCATGTCTCAGAACCTGGTTTCCTTATGTGTAAAGGGGGAGTGATAACTATACCTCATGGGGGTTTGGACTCATTTGTACCCAAGTGACACTCTGTAAACCCCAGCTATGATCCTTGTCTTGACTAGGCAGGGATTGTATTTCTCTGAAACCACACTGTGGCTCTCAGCTCTAGTGGTTTCAATGCTCCTTTTTTTCCTTTTTTTTTTCTTTTTTAAGAATTTATTTATTTGAAAGAGAGCACAAGCAGGGGGAGCAGCAGAGGGAGAGGCAGGCTCCCCGCTGAGCAGGGAGCCCGATCCCAGGACTCCAGGATCATGACCTGAGCCAAAGGCAGACGTTTAACCGACTGAGCCACCCAGGCACCCCCACCCCTTGTTTTTTAAGAGAGGGAGTGAGGGGTAGGGGAGAGGGACAGAATGAGAGGGAAAGAGAAAATCTTAAGGAGGCTCCACGCCCATCATGGAGTCTGATGCAGGGCTCAATCTCATGACCTGAGATCATGACCTGAGCCAAAATCAAGAGCCTGCCATTCAACCAACTGAGCCACCCAGGTGCTCCTTAATGCTCCTTTTTTATAACAAACATTAAATTATTATCCTGACATATATTCTCGAAATACATATAAATATTCTACCTGTATACGGAACTGGAAAGAAAATTTAATGGCTTAACTGTAATAAAAAGGAGAAGTAAAAGGAAAATAATGTCTAATAAAGTAATATGTATTTCAGTGTGCCGATGCTTGGGCACCACTACCCTAGAAAATCTAATGAAGGAATCAGATGGTGGCACCTACATACAATAAATAAGTTTGGATTCAAGGAAAGAAAAGTCAGAAGCCATTCCATGTAAGATGTATCGAAAAAGGAAAGAGCAGAGAATGTGTGTGCCCTAGAATGATAAATAGCAATGAGAGCAAATTTGACCTACTTGTGTATGATAAGAAGAAGCAAACCTCAACATAAATGACATAGGGATAACATTACGCTCTGGGGGGCAGAGGAAGTAGGACGTATGATGTTCTAGCAGATGATCTGGGTCTTGTTTATGAAAGGTAGCATCATAATAATTTGCAGTGCTATGGTAAGTGACTGGATGGAGTCGAAGTGTCACAAAAACATCTCTGCTCTTGAAATTGCAGCACATTTTGAGGCATTCATTCAGCCTGTGCACGTCCAGAGGGATCTAGGAGACTTAGCACTCTTCACAGAGCAGGGTTGTCCTTGCAGATGGCCGCTGCCCTGGTCCTTGCCCACTAAGTGCCTGGAGCAGCCCTGTGCCTGCAAGTTTCCACCCTGCCCTCGATGAGAGCCCCTGGTCTAATGTTGCCCCAGGAATGTCATTCTTCCTGCCAGCATTGCTTTCCATCTCCTCTCTCTTGAAACAGTAATCCTGGCCTTCTTGTGCTTATGATCATGGGACTGTTTCTGGAGCTTAGCCGACTAGAATCACCAGACCAACCAGTAGTAAGTGGTTCTCATAAGTGGTTCTTCTTATCCAGTTAGGATGGATGAGACTAATCAGATTCTTTGTGATTCCAAAATGCATGCTGCCTGCTACCCTTTTATTTGGGTGGGTGAGTGGGTAGGGTGTTCAGTTTATCCTGTCTCTTAATTCAGCTCCCACCTGAGGCCCAAGGGGATCAAAGACTTGCTCTTGCAGTAGGCAGGAAGCTCTGCAGCTATCAGCAGGGAAGAGGCTGCCCTGCAGAGGCCAATTGGTCCAGCACAAAGCACCCACTATCTCAGAATGACGGCTGAGGCAGTGTTTGGGGAAGGCAAATAATCTTTGTTTTCCTTTATTGGCAATCTTCGTTCATTTTATTTTTTTTTTAGTTTTTTAAAAATTTATTTGAGGGGGGACACAAGCAGGGGAGAAGGGCAGAGGAAGGAGAAGCAGACTCCCCACTGAGCAGGAGCCTGATGGGCTCGATCCCGGGACCCTGAGATCATGACCTGAGCTGAAGTCAAGAGTCGGACGCTTAACTGACTGAGCCACCCAGGTGCCCCAGCAAGTTTTTCACTTAACTATGGCTATGAATATCTTTTCACAACACTAGGAATAGTTCTACCATGTTCTTGTTAATGGCTGCACAGAGTTCCTTTCCAAGGCAGCTCACAGACTATGGTGGTTTAACCAACCCTCTGCTGATGGGTATCTGGCTTGTTTGCAGCTTTTCACTGTGATAAGTAGAGTTGCTGGTAACTTCTGCCTTTATCTTTGCTCGCTTGAGTTGACATTTCTGGAGTGGGACTGATGGAACAAAGGATTTGTACATTTCACAAATTGCCAAACAGCTCTTTAAAAAGATCTTACCAATCACGGCTCCCACTGAGAAAATGTAAGCGGGCCTGTCTCCCCATATCCACCCAGCTCTGGGGATTATCTGTCTTGCTTTGCTTTGCTTTGCTTTGGTCTTTCATCTCCTCCCCTCTGCTCCCCCGCCTCCTCTCCTTTTTTTTGTGTGTGTGGGGGGGATTGTCTTTCAATTTTTGTTGCCTGTTTGAAAGGCCACTTAAAAAAATTTTCTCCAGGGGTGCCTACGTGGCTCAGTCAGTTAAGCATCTGACTCTTGATCTCAGCTCAGGTCTTGAATTCAGGGTTGTGAGTTCTAGCCCCCTGTTGGGCCTACTTTAAAAAAATATATATATATATATATTTTTTTTTTTTTCCTTCAGATTACCTTAGAAAAGCTGTAATCGTAAAAAGCTGCTGTAATTCTATCATGACTCCTTGATAATTGTGGAGAAGAGCTGTGACCCTCTCTTTGAAGATGCGCTGTGCTCTTATTTGTGGACAGATGTCCCCATGAGGCAGTTGGCCCTTTCCCGTGGAAAGTAAGCCCAGAGGACAGAGTTTTGCAAATATCTGGTGACTTTTTCCATCTCCCCTGCCTGTGGTCAGCCAAGTGCTAGGAAACCCATGGTGAGAGCAGATGGTCAACGTAGGCATGTCCTGACAGGTAATCCTACCTTTGCCTCCCCCACAGGCCCCCGCAGCTAATGAGGGCGCACCCACCTGCTCTACCTATTCTTAGCCTCATGACTGATCTTTCCTGGACATTTGGTCTGGAAATATTTCCTTAGGAGGAAGAGCAAGAGGCAAGGGTACCATGGAGAGGGGGCCCAGAGAAGGGCTGTGAGCAGCATCTGTGAGTCTTCTTGGATGAGACATGCTTAGACACAGGTTTGAAACCCTCGTGGGCCTCTTGAAAGGCAGGTCTGAGGGCTTCTGGTCATGATCAAGGGAAAACTGTGGGAGCCTCTTCCCAGATGCCATTGATTTGGGTAGTTTTTCTGCAAATCCCTCATACCAGCAAGAAAGGGACTAGAAAAAGTCATCCATTCATCGAATAGTGCATCTGGAGGGGATCTTGACACTACTCAATCTTGTGTTTTGTTTTATTTTTTACTTTTTTTAGTGAAAATTTTCACACCTGTAGAAAAATAGAATGTAACAAACATATACCACTACCTAAAATTAACCAATATTAATATTTTGCTTCATCTATTTTTATGCTGAACTGTTTAAAGACAAATAATAGACATCATGACTTTTTACCATTAACTAAGTTTTTAAAAAAATACTTTTTTTTAAGATTTTATTTATTTGAGAGAGAGATTGAGAGAACAAGTGGGAGGAGGAGCAGAGGGAGAAGCAAACTCCCTGGAGAGCAGGGAGCCTGACATAGGACTCGATCCCAGAACCCTGGGATCATAACCTGAGCCGAAGGCCGATGCTTAACCGACTGAGCCACCCAGGCACCCTACCCTTAAATAATTTAAATGCATCTCTATAAACATACAAAGTTCCTGTGATTATTTTTTTAAACTTTCAACTTTTAAAGCCACAGAACCATTTTACTGAATGAAATCTCAAATGGATGTCCAGCATACAGAGTTGTGCTTGGGACATAGCCAGGTGGACACGTCATGCGGGCAGTTGACTGTGTGAGTCTGGAGCTCGGGACAGAAGCTGGAAACAGAGGTCTGGGTTGGGGCTGTGTTTAAAGCCATCAGACTAAATGAAGTCAGTAAGAGAGTGAGTGGAAGGGAGGGAAGGCCCCAGGGCGCTCTGGCATTGGAGCGAGGCCAGCAGAGGAGGCGAAGAGAATGGCCCATGGAGCAGGAAAAGCAGGATGAAGGGCATCTCTGGGGCCAAAAGAAGAAAGTGTTTCAAGAGCAGGGACTGGTCGGCTGTGTCTGCTGCTGAGAGGCCAAGGAAGCAGAGGACAGAAAACTGACCGTTGCATTTAGTACAGATGGGAAACCAGGGCCCAGAAAAGGGATACAGTGAGAACTAGCCATGCCTGTCTAGCATCTAGACCTCATGCATTACAGATGAGGAAACTGAGAACCACGTAAGGAGGGTGCTTAGGCCTGAGAGCACACAGCAAGTTAAAAGGCAGAGCTGGGCCTAGAGCCCCGGACTCCTGTTGCCCAAAATGGTGGGCTTTTCCTACCTAACGCCAGCCTTCTCCCTCAGGCCACAAGCTGGGCCCTCTGGCCTCAGTTTCTTACTGGTAATCCCTCTGCAGAGGATTACCAAGTACCCATTGCTGCTGCAGAAAATCCTGGAGAACACCGTCCCTGATGCCAGTGCCTACCCTGTGCTTCAGAGGGCTGTCTCTGCCCTCCAGGACGTGAACACCAACATCAATGAGTACAAGAGGCGCAAGGAAGTGGGTAAGGACTTGGGGAATTTAGGGGCTATATCAGTGAGAATGCTTCCAGCTACAAAAACACTCATTTTAAACTATCTTCATTAATAAAGGAAATGTAGTGGCTCATGTAACCACAAGTCCAGAGGACTTTAGGTAGAGTTTGATCAGGGTGATGGCTCCATTTCCCAATAATTCTCTTATCTCTGCTCTTTACTGTGTGTCAGCTTCATCTTCAGGCTGACTTCCCTCATAGTAGTAAATGGCTTTTGCCATTCCAAGATTCACATCTGCACACCATACCCTCTAGGATAAGACAGGGCCTTTCTCCCCTTAGTCATAAATTAGATTGGAGCATCATTCTGAAAGGACCCATTTGGGTCATGTGCTCACCCTGAACCAGTTACCATGGTTAGGAGAATGCCATGAGCTAATTGGCTTGGGCCTGGCTTAGGTATCAATCACTGTGGCCAGGGGTTTAGGACTCTATGAATTTGCTTATCTCAGCACCTACATTTTGAACCAAAGTGAGATCAGTCCCATGCAAACCACATGGCTGCTATACTGTGGAAGAGAAATGAATATGGAGGAGGCCAAGTATATATAAATATACCTTGGGAAGGACAGCTAGTGGGTGGGGAACTCAGGTTGTTAAAACAGAAAGGTTTGGAAAATGAACCAGCGTCCCAAGTAGAGAGCAAAGTCAACTGCACGATCCAGATGGTATAATAGTGATAATTTAGTTCCTGTGACACATCTTTCATTCATTATCTGGTTTGATCTGTACAGTCACATTCAGAGGCTGGCCCCGGTAGCGCCATCTCACAGTCAGGTCAAATGAAAGCTTAAATCGTTTGCTGTAGATCCCAGAGCTGGTGAGAGGCAGAGCTGGCTTTCAGACTCAGGCCCGGGGTGACAGATCAGTGGAAAGCCCTGTACCCGAGTGGGGAGTGTGGGTCCCAGCCTGACCTGGCTGACACTGGCCCAGGAGCCTCACACAACTCACCTCTCACTGAGTTCTTTAGAAAGTACATTCAGACCCACTATCTTATGTGATCCTCCCAGCAACCATATAAGGTGGCTGGTCTCACTTATGAATGAGGAAACAGGCCCAACAAGTGGCGCCTTGCCAAAGTTGGGCAGGCGGCAGCTGCGTAGCCAGGGCTCACACCTTGCAGCAAGGCCTGGGCTCTCCCTTTGCGAGTGGCCGTTCGAACAGGCGTACTGCTGATGTTTGAGAAAAGGGTCCAAGCGGGCGCCTAGCCAGGTGTGTCCGGGATGCCTGCTTTCCTGGGTCAGCTTTGGTTCCCGTGCCTTCCCTCTCCTCTGTTGGTGCAGCCTCCAAGTACACCAAAGTGGAGCAGCTGACCCTCCGGGAGCGGCTGGCCCGCCTCAACACGCACACCCTCTCCAAGAAGACCACCCGGCTGAGCCAGCTGCTGAAGCAGGAGGCGGGGCTCGTGCCCAGGGTGAGCGCAGGCGGAGGACGGGTGGCATCCTAGCCGTTCCACGGGGCAGGACTGTGCAGTGGATGGGGCAGGTGGCATAGAGTCCTCTCAGAGATGAGGAGGTGGGGGCCAAGGGACTGAAGTGACCTCTTAACACTGCGTTGCCAGGAGGAGGCCAAGTTGGCACCCTCACATGATTCTGAAGGACCAGGTAGGGCTCTCTCCACTGCATCCCGTGTGCGCTTTCTCTGAGTATCCCTGTATGCAGATAGGAGAGCTTATCTCTGGGTCTGAGCGAAGAACCAGCTTGGAATAGCCACTAGGAGCAGCTCAGGTTGATAGAGTACTTACTCTGAACCAGGCATTATTTGATCGACACAATAAAGTAGGTGTTTTTATTACCCCACCTGCACCTGAAAAAACAGGCTCAGGGAGGGTAAAACACTTACCCAAGGTCACACAGCTAGGGAGCCAGAACTCGGATGCTTGTGTATCTGATTCCATGATCTGAGTACAAAACCATTAAGCAGCACTCACTGCCTCTAACCGTCCCACTCAGCTTTGGGGCTGAAGAACTGGCTCTGATGGGCAGGGCTGTGGTAAAGGTGGTCCCCATTGAGAGCGTGGGACGAGGATGTTGGCGTACGCTATTCCACTCTCTCCCCGGGCATGGATATTCTCAGCTCTCACAAACGTCACTCTCCTCTCAGACAGAAGATAAGGAATTTGATGATTTAGAAGAGAGGTTCCACTGGGTGTCGCTCTGTGTGACCGAGATGAAGAACAACGTGGCTGTTTACCTGGATAATCTGGAGGTGAGGATCCTGCCCTTAATAATGGTTGGGCTGGGCTGGGTCCCCCAGGCAGGAGGCGTGTGAGGCCCATCCGTCAAGCTGGCAAACGCATCAGTTGCAGGAACCCAAAGGGAAGAGGTCACCGGGTCACTGGCTGCGGGTCAGAAGAAGGGCCACAGGCAAGCACTCCCCAGACCACAGCCTCTGAGCCCACTGAGCTCTCAGGGGGTGAGGTTCCCACTGAGAGGGGTTAAAATTCACTGGGGTCCGAGCCCTCCAGAGGGACAGTGCCAGTCTGGCACCCGGAGCAGGTGACACACTCAGGTGCCTGAGAAAGTCAAGCAGGTAATATTACTGAGTGAAATGTGCAAGTGTCCGAGGCTTAATGCCTAACAGGCTGTTCATGAAACTTTTCGGTAGAGTTAAATACATACTGATATTTAGAATTTGACTGAATGCATGGATGAATAAAATCTAAAGGGGCAGCTGTTACTTGGCTTGGAAAAGCTGTTGCTGTTTGGAAATGTGGACCCAGCATCGCCAGTTCTGATTTTAGGGGGGGGAAAAAACCTTTCAGATGAAATCTCATGGTATGTCCACGTGAGCAACAAATTTAATGAAAACCTAAATGCTATGCAGGCCCAAGAAAATGCATTTCTACAGGCTGGATTCAGCCCACAGGAACACCAGTTTTCCTTATGCCGATACCCTTCACTGTTGTCATCGACGCTGACTCATTCCATCCGCTCCGTCCCTTTTCTGTGGTTTTGTCCTCCGTCATGTCCATTTGTGCAAAGCAGCTTGGTCAGATGATAACGGGCTCTTTCGATAATGGGATTTGGGGTGGCCTTAGGGGAATTGTGGAAAACGCAGGAGGCTGTAGTTGCAGGCCCCTCTGTGTGGGGCCGATGCCCCTGCTTGTTCCGGCTCCTTCCTGGCCCCCCCCCCCGGCAGAAGGCAGCAGGATGCTGTCACAGTGCAGCGAGACGGCAGGGGCGGCTCCCTGAGCCCGCACGAGAGAGGATGGAGAAGCCATGAGAGAGAAAGCAGAGGCACGTGGAAGCCCCATCTGGCTTTGCGGGGTAGGACAGATATTTGGAAGCATTAGGTTATGTTCCCCCAGATGCAGGCTTTTGTGACAACACAGTTGTTGACATGGAATCCCACAGCAAGCACGTGACTCCCTCTTTTAATCCTCTGAGTGCAGGAGAAGCTGCCTGTATGTCTTTAACACAGGCAGAGCAAGTCTTGGGCTGGGAGCCTTCTGCAGGCAGGGATGTCCGGACAGAACTTAATGACATTGTTTGTTTTTATCGCAGTAATTCTTGCATGGCTATGCGTGGCAGTTATTGCTGGTTTTCCCATTATGGTGGTGTCATAAGGTGATTTTTAAAAATACATTGATATAAATAGGAATGGTTTGTTGATTTCAAGTATTAATAGAATATGTGGAATATAGACATGGCAGTAAAATCACAGAGGTGCTATGCAAACACAAAGTTTGAGCAGCACTGGAATAGGGAGAAAAATGTTGGTTTAGTCTAAGGAAGAACTTTCTAATCACCCAAGTTGTGCAAGGATGGAATAGGCTGTGTGCTTCCCTGTCATGGTGGGTGTGCAGAGAACCTGGACAGCCTCTTCGGGGGGGCAGGGGAGGGACGGGCGTGAGAGGGCTATGATGGGTCCTGATTGGCTGTCTCTGCTTTGCTCTGGGTCCAGGCTTTCCTCCGCTTCAGGCCCCAGGAGTACGACCTGGACATCCCTGGCGGGCCTGTGGTACAGCACTGCAGCCTGATGAGAGACCTCCAGCTCCAGGCCTTCCCACACTTTGTGAGTGGAGCTTTTCCTTTCTCCTTTCTTTGTGAGGCAGGTGGCAGAGCCTGGTAAGAATAATATTTAGGGGAAAAAAAGAGTAATATTTAGGGGCCTCCTGGCTGGCTCAGTCAGTAGAGCATGCAATTCTTGATCTCAGTGTGAGTTCGAGCCCCACGATGGGTGTAGAGATTACTTAAAAATAAAATCTTAAAAAAAAAAGGAATAAGGGCGCCTGGGTGGCTCAGTTGGTTGAGCGACTGCCTTCGGCTCAGGTCATGATCCTGGAGTCCCGGGATCGAGTCCCGCATCGGGCTTCCTGCTCAGCAGGGAGTCTGCTTCTCCCTCTGACCCTCTTCCCTCTCGTGCTTTCTATCTCTCATTCTCTCTCTCTCAAATAAATAAATAAAATCTTTAAAAAAAAAAAAAAAAAAAAAAAAAAAAAAAAGGAATAATATTTAGAAGCCAGGCCCTTTATATGATTGTCATATCCATAACTGCCCAGAGTAGCCAGCAGAGTGGAGATTATTATTAATGCATTTTACTGATTAAAAATAGCCCCAGCTGATGTTTGCTGTGCCTCACTATCTGCCAGGCAGATAAGCTGCTCAGCCCTTTACATTCTTCATCTCCATTAATCCTCACAACACAGCTTATGGGGTAGATGCTGTTAAGAGTCGCATTCTGCAGGTGAGAGGTGGAGGCTCAGAGAGGGTGACTTCCCAGGTTATTCAGATGGTCGGTGGCAAGATGGGATCTGAGCCCCAAAGACTGTGTTTGTGGTCACTCCTCTCTACAAAATCTTTTAAGAGCTGTGCACAGATGTTAGGAAGTGCCAGGTCCTCTGCTAAGCTCATACATGCACTGTCCCCGTTGTTCAGATGGGCACATTGAGGCCCAGAAAGTTTAGAAAACATGCAAGAAGTCACAGCGAGTCGGTGGGGGTGGGACTACAGCCCGGTCCTAGCTCCCTCCAAAACCCCTTCTCCCGGTGCCTGGCCTCTGCCGCTGCCTTCCCCAACCCCAAGTTCCCCTCACCCCGCAGAAGCAGAGGCTGAAAGGCCTGGTGTGGCAGCCGTTGTGCAGCCTGGCTAAAGCCCTGGCTGGCCCTCAGAACCTGATCAAGAAGCGTCTGGACAAACTACTGGACTTCGAGAGGGTGGAAGAGAAGCTGTTGGAGGTGGGCAGCGTGACGTACGAGGAGCAGGAGGCCCGACACATGTACCAGGCCCTCAACTCCCTGCTAGTGGCCGAGCTCCCACAGCTGAACCAGCTGGCCACGCGCTGGCTGGGCCAGATCCTGCGCACATTCGTGGGCCTCCAGCGGGAGCTTGCTCAGCAAGTTCTGCAGAGGGCAGAGGGCAGTTTGGCCCAGGTAAGGCCTCTGGGACCCGGGGTGCCTCTGCGGAAGAGCCAGGCGGGGCCTCAGGGCGCCTGCAGCTAGCTGTCCACGGGGGTTGGGATGGAGGGACATTAGGCCATCGGGTGCGCAGCAGGCGGCCCCGGGCACCTCCTGGACCTCTCTTGTGCCAGTTGTCCCTCCAGTAATGGGATCCGATCATGCAAACAAGGATAGAACTGGGACTCCAGGCAATTCCTGGGCTCTGGGATTCAGAAGCAGAGGAGGCTTTGCTGGGAAAATAGCAGAACTTGGGGCCCCTCCTTGGAATGTATGAGAAGTCGGTGACAGAGGCCAGGCCCCTTCTATGCGGTTGGGAGTCAGTGTCTCCAGTTGGCGTTCCCGCTGCTGTTACTACTTCTAGCAGCTGCGTCCTCGTGAGCACGTACAGTGTACTTCCCTATGTTATCCCAGTTTTCCTCACACTGACCCTACTGAGTAGTTATCATCGGCATCCTCACTGCAAAAGAAAGCCGAGCCCAGAGAGGTTAGACAGCGTGCCCAAGGCCACACAGCTGACAGCAGGATTTGAGCCCTGGCAGTTCAAGTCCCGCAGCCTGGGCTCTGAACAGTGCTTGGCAGCCTATTAGAAGAGCTATCTGCTGAAAGCAGAAATAGATTGCAAAGAAGTTTGGACAAACTTCCAAGTACAAACTTTGAATTCAGAGCTTTGAAGACGGAGGTTGACACAGGGAAAAAGACCGGGGTTGATGCGGGGAAGAAGACCAAGCTGCTTTCAGATCGGTCTCTGATGTCAGCGTCAGAGCTGAGGGGCTTGTGCGCCTGGCCCCCGGGGCAGGCCAGCACTCCTCATACCACACGCTGTCTCCTGGGCTTCATGGTCCCCAGCGCAGCCACGCCCGTGCAGTATGTTGCATGAAACTTCCTCTGAAATGCACATGCCCCACTGCCCTGGTGGCTCCTGGTCCCAGTCCGCCCTGTGCTCCCACTTGCAGCACACTGCTTCTGAGTGGGACCACGTCCTTTTGCACAGACCGCTTCTTTGGCCTGAAATGCCCCCCAGCCCAGTGCCCTCCCCATGCCTTTCACAGTGCCTGGTGCATGGTAGGAACTCCACAAATATGTGACAGATGAATGAATCTCTCCGTGAAGCTCTCAGAAGCCCCCTCCTTGCAGCTGGGAGAGCCCGTCTCCCCATCCTGTGTACTCCAACAGCCTTTAGGAGGTGCTGTGCTAAGCACTTCGCAGAGCCTGCCTTCAGCTGGGGTGCTGGATGAAGCTGTTTCTCCTTATTGAGGAGGGCTGGAACTACAGGCTTTTATTCTTTTTGGCCTTCAAAGCATTTAGTACAGAGTTCTGTCTCAGACACACTTTTTGAATTTAATTAAGCCTGAACCATCTGCAAAAAGAAGCATTTCTCTTTCTTGAAGGCAGAGGGTCAATCTGATTAGATGATCTTGTCATTCTCTTCCTGCCCTCTAGTTCTGTCTCCAGGGCTGCCAGGCCCCTTGTGTTCAGACTGGGATGTGCGTGGCTGCGGAGTGTTGCAGGATGCCAGTAGCAGGAAGATCAACTTTATAAAAGCAGAAAGAGGGCCTTTCCTGGTTGGGCCTGTCATTTAGAATGTTAGAGCCTGCCGGTGATTGGTGCCAGCTTCCTTGTCTGTGTCCCATGGCCCATCCCCCTGGACCAGTCCTGTGGAGCCCGGGAAAGGCCTACATGGTAGAACCTCAATCTGTCTGCATCCTGGGGGCAGGGAGAAAGGCTCTAAGTCAGACCCAAGAGCAGCGAGCTTGGTGACAAGCAGAGAGGACACGTCTCTCTTAGCTGTGGGTCTTACTCATTCCTAGGTTGTGTGGGAAGAATGCAGGAGATGGCTAGCAGGGCCAGGGTCTCAGGATGGAGCATTACTCAGAACTTCTTGGATTCCAAACCAGCTGAGGCATAAAGAAGGACGTCCTGACTTGCATAACTGGGAGGCCCAGGAGGGGATCGAGCCCCGGGCAGGGTGCATTCAGTACAAACAGTGTTGTCAGGGCTCCGGCTTTCGCTCCACCTCCTAGCTCTGTTTCCCTGTCTGGGCTGGCTTCATTGTCAGGCCAACCTTTTTCTGCACAGTGGGAGAGACCGATTTTATGCCTCAGCATCTAAAGGAAAAGTTTTCCTCTCATTCTCAGCCTTCATATACTAACTCTGACGGGAGGCTTCTGCTTGGCCTTGCTTGGGTTCATTGTCTAGTCCGTGGGCTGCTCACAGTGGATGGGAGAAGGGAGGCCGTGCCTGCCAGCCCTGGGGCTGGTGCCCCACGGGGGGCAATACTCCTGGACCCCCACGGAGGGATGCTTTCTTGAAGGACACCAAGTGCGGCAGTCAGCAGACAAAAACTACAGCTGACAAAGACGTGAAGACCCATCTTCACACATCTGGGGCTAGAATGTAGGCTGCTAGAGTCTTTCTGTCCCCTTTCTCCTGGAGATGGCTCTGATGACAGTGTCTGTCCCACCCAGCTGCCCCATTACCACCTCTCGGAGCCAGCCTTCAGGAAGCTGGTGGAGGACACACTGGGCCAGACTGGTCACCAGCTTCGCTCCTTTCAAGAGAACTTTGAGAAAGTGCTGCCACCTCCCACCATGCAAGTAAGTCTCCTTACCCCGCAGACTGTCCAGTCCTTCACCTGCCAGTGGGGTCAGGCCCAATCCTGTTTCCTTTTCCTTTTCCTCCCCCAGGGTTCCCTGTACCCTTTCCCTCTCTTCTTTCTGTCTGTGAGCTGGAGGGGGTGTTGGGATTCACACCACCTACACACATGCTCTTCGTGGCCAATAAACATAAGAGCAGAACAGTAGAATATTAAGTGAAATTAGACATAATCACAGACAAGTGGCATTAGCATCCCCAAACCTGGAACTTCACATTCTTTTAATCAAAGCCCCTGTTTCCTCACCATCTGACTGAACTGGCTTCAGATACCAGCATTCAGGATGAATAAAAAGTTGCAATAACAAGTCATTTAAATTTTCTTTTTGCTATGGAATTTTTAATTGCAAAAGACAGTATTTCAGCTGCATTATGGTTTACAGACTTTGGCTGGCCAAATGCTTTTTGGGGTAAAGTATTTTTCCGTAAAATAGAAGAAAGGGTATCTTCCAGTGCACTTGAAGGATGTCCCCAGGGAGTATATTTCAGAAGTGGAACTGAAGTAGCTGAAGGGAGGTGGGGGCTCCACATGGGGACAGACCTGGGTGAGAGGATCCTGAAACTGTGTGTTCAGTCACATGTGAAATGTGAAGTGAAGGACTGGGAGACAGCCAGGATTCCCCAGAAGGGAGAAGGGGGCTCCAGAGACCCAGAGACAAGGAAAGGAGCCCAGCAGAGCTGGCCCATAGAGGTGGCCTGCACACCTGACTGGAATGCAGAGAAGGCCAAAGGCCATCAGGGATGCAGGAGGAGAGTGGACTCTTCCTTGGGCCACAACCATCCCCTTTCCTCCCCCACACTGAGGCTGTCCCAGCCAGAAGTCCCATGGGGGGGCATGGGCCCTGCAGCGCGGGGCGAGGATGGGGCAGAAAGTAAAGAGCACTCACTCACTCTTTCTCTCAAATAAATAAAATCTTAAAAAACATTAAAAAAAAAAAAAGTAAAGAGCAGAGCAGCTGCTGGGATGAGTCCTGGGAAGCTCCTCTCTCTTGCTACTTGAGACACAATTACATTTGTCTTATTGGAAAAGCATTCCATGCTGATTGTAGAAAAGGAAGACACAGAGAAACAAAAAAGAGAAACAAATGGGAACAGCATAATCCCAATGTGTGTTGCAAATTGGTAGGAAGAGAAGAGATGCCCCCTCCTTTCCACCTTTGTTTCCGCCCCACCCCCACACACCCTCTTATAAATTCCTGACTTCTTTGGCTAAGGGTTCAGAACCCACAGAAGTGAGGCGGTCACCTGGGACAGAAGCAGTCCTCGTGATATCTTCCCATGTCTCCCCTTGGGCCCTCTGGGGACTACTGCTGTTCTCTGCCGGGCCTCTCAGACTTGAGAAAGAAGGCAAATGTTTCTACGTCGCTGGCTTTCATACTCAGGGTAACACCTCTATTCTGAAAAAAAGGTACGCTGTCTCCACTTCCACCTAAGGGCCAGTTTAGAAACATCAGGTTCTCCTAGTTCTTGAGCCTGACTAGTGAACCCCACTAGAGGAGGCAGAGTCTGTGCCCAGACGTCCCTGAAGGGCACTTCTGTCTGCTTCTCCTACACCAAGCACCACCTCCCCACAGAAATGACCACATAGAATATGATCTCTATACACACACACACACACGCACACGCACACGCACACACACACACACATATATAGTCAGAGAATATATAGTGAATCTATATGCAACATTTTTAGTTTCTTTGTTTTACAAAAAGGGACAGTCACTGCTGAGTCTCTTCTTGGTGATACTTTTGCTGGAAGCAATGAACAAGAAAGGCAATGCCAGATTTTTGGATGCATGGACAGCGCCACTGAGGCATTCGTCCCAGCTAGATGGCAGTTTCCATCAGGGCAAAGCTGTCTTCTGTGTTTCTTTTTTTTTTTTTTTAAAGATTTTATTATTTATTTGACAGAGAGAGACACAGCGAGAGAGGGAACACAAGCAGGGGGAGTGGGAGAGGGAGAAGCAGGCTTCCCACCGAGCAGGGAGCCCGATGTGGGGCTCGATCCCAGGACACTGGGATCATGACCTGAGCCGAAGGCAGAGACGCTTAACGACTGAGCCACCCAGGCGCCCCTTCTGTGTTTCTTTTACCCCATTCACAAGGCTTACTGTGCCTTGTAAACAGTAGGTGCTCAATAAATACTTGTGGAATAAAAGCTAGCACTCCCTTCGCACGTGAGGGAGGGTCTGCCCGCGTCACCCTCTGCCGTCCGTCAAAGCAGCCACACGCCTGCTGCCCGCGTGAAGCTCACGGTCCTGCTCATTCAGGCCAAAAGACCTGTGCCAGGCTTTTTCCCATGGGATAATTTCACTTGATGCTGTGGCCAGAATGTAGGGCCCCATCCTAGAGTTCTGTAACTGAGAACTTTTGGAACCTGAATTAGGATTTTAGAAAATCCAGGAAGTTTAGACCTAGGAGGGATGTTAGAGGTCAAATGAGAGGGTGTTTTGTGTGGGTTTTTTTTTTTTTTTTTTGAGATCCCTTTGGATCCTAAGGGCGTGTTCTTCCTCTAACCCAGCCATCTGTTAGCGAGGAGACTGTTGCCCACTGGCGGCAGAGGTAGGATCGGCATGGGCCTCCTGGCTGTCAGCACGTGGGCATAGGCTGGCGCCAGCTCTGACACACCAGCTCAGGCACCTGTGTCTCTCTTTGTCCCTCCCCTCCTCCCAGCCACTCCTTCCAGGGGCTGAACGCCAGGTGCAGGCTCTCCTGAGCAGGTATGGCCCCGAAAAGCTGTACCAGGTGACAAGCGGCGTCAGTGGGGCTGGGACTCTGGACCTGACACTGCCACGGGGCCAAATCGTGGCTCTCCTTCAAAACAAGGACACCAGAGGCAACAGCAGTCGCTGGCTGGTGGACACCGGGGGTACGTGGGGCTTCATGGGCTCTTCCCCTCCCTCTGGGAAACCCCCCAACAGGAACCAGTGGGGAGATCCAGGTGTGGGCAGGGGTCTGGCTGTGCAAATCTGGGATGGGAATTGACATACGTGAAAGTGCAGGGCTTGGGGCACAGCCAGCTTAGTGTGGCCTGTGACATGCCACTAAGAGGAAGTGAGTCTTACATTGCTACATCCGTTATTCAGCACCTACTGTGTGCCTTGGGGACCTCACAGACCGTTGGGGTAGACAGAGATGTACAGAGAGATCTCCAGCATCACCCCGAAAGATGTAGATATGCGGAGAGGGCGCGCTTGGATCCCAGCTGCAGGGAAACATCTGGCATCCAGAACGAGGACGTGTGGTCCTGTCTCCCGTGCACTGGTCCCACCCTTGGATGTGCCACTCAGGTCTGGGTGCCCCAGTGTAACTGGGCAGGAGGCAGGTGGCACCTTGAACCCAAGAGGAGATGGCCCAGCCGTGTCTTCCAAGAAGGGGCCTGTGACCCACAAGATGAGGGCCACACAGGATTTTTGGGAGGGGACCCACAGACAGTTTTCCCCCTTCAGTTTATCATAATTGTTACTGAAATATTTTTCTGCACATGAGAGAAACTATAGCTAGTACATAAACCTGTGATTTTATTCATATTATTAATAGAACAAGTCTAAGTTTTAAAAAGTGAGTCTATCAAAAAATTAAGTGGGTGACTCTTGATCTTGCTTCAGGTCTTGATCTCAGGGTCATGAGTTCAAGCCCATGTTGGGCTCCACGCTAGGCATGGAGCCTATTTTTAAAAGAAATTAAGAAAACAGTACAAATCCAGCAGAAACCGTGAAAGGGCAGTCTCGTGACTCAAGTTGACAAACAGCTGAACGGGGATTCAGGCTGGCCGCTGCGGTCAGGAGGACTGGGTTTGGATTCCCAATCAGCCACTTTACTAACTGTGTGATCTCAGAGGAGTTACAGAGCCTCTCTGAGCTGCAGTGGCTCAGCCATCAAATGGAAGCAACAGTACTGACCTGGAGGGTTGATGTGAAGACTGGATAATCGAATGCCAGTTTGGCACCTAGCAAACTCTCAGGAGGTGTTGGCCGTGTGCAGTGATAGCGACCAGGACAGCACTGGAGTAGCTGTTCATGAGCAGAAACTGAGGGTACTCAGCAAAGAGAGAGGCAGTTGCTGCCTCCTGGAAAGGGCCATCCTGGGTGAGGAAACAGCCCTGCTCTAGGCCTCTGCTCAAGGGGAAGGGGATCAGTGGGCCCAGCACCAGGAAAGCTGTGTTTATACCAGCCCAAGGAAGAACTTCTTACGTCTGTCAAAGCTGTTCAAAACAGAGTGGGCTGCCTCAGTAGGGAATAAGCACCCTGTCATTGGGGGTGTGCAAGTAGAAGCTGGAAAGAGTGAGTGTGGGTTGGTTAGGGGTGGGTGTGGGAGGTGCCTGGATGACTTTTTCTGGTCCCTTTTAGTGCAGGGAAGCTGTGCTGGAGGCATTCACATCCCTGAATGGGGCTGATTCCTCTGTCACTAAAAGGGATGGGAAGGGTGGTCTGCAGCCAGATAACGTTCTGCATGTCCTGTAGGACATCGAGGGTATGTGCCATCTGGGAAACTGGAGCTATACCGCGTCATCCCCAGGCAGGAGGAGGTCAAAGAGCGGGAGTGGCCTCACAAGGACTCCCGTCACCTAACACCAGAGCCCACTCCAGCACCCGTTCCCTCTGTCCCAGTGGTGACCCAGGTGAGTGTGGGAGAGGGGTGGGGTTTGCCTCCCCACGGCCACCTGGAGTGGGGCTTTGATTTTCCTCCTGTTGGAAGAGGCTACCATCCTGTGAGGCCAGGGCCTTGGTCAGTGGCCACACCAGTGTCCTGGTCAGGAGTGAACCTGAAAAAGGAGCCTCCCATCCCTGCCACATCAACAAACCCTTGCTCCCTATCAGCAGGGCAAGTAGGATTCATTCATTCATTCATTCATTCAGTATTTGCCAGGCAATGTGCCGGATGAGAGATGTAATAATGAGCAAAAGTAAATCTTGGTCCTTGCCTTCCTCAGATTTATAATCTGGGGGTGGGGAAAACAGCAATTAATAAAATAATCATGTGAATCATTGTAAAGTTAGAGCAGTGATAAATGCCAGAGCCTTAGGTGGGAGAGGTTCAGGAAAAGCTTTTCTAAGAAGAATGATGCTTTTTCTCAGATTTGAAGGGTGAGCAGGGATTAATTGGATAAAGGGACTGTGCCAGGCTGTGGGTGGGAAGAGCTCCCCAGAAAGCGTGCCTAGTGAACGCAAAGGGGCCAGTGTGTGTGTGTGTGTGTGTGTGTGTGTGTGTGCGTGTACACAAAGGAGGGGTGCGTGAGGAACTGAATGAAGGGGGTGTGGCCGGGGAAGAGAGGGTAGGGGTGAGGTACTGCTAGAGAGGTGGGCAGGGCCTTGTGGCCTTGGTGAGGATGTCAGCCTTCGCTTCAGAGCAGTGGGAAACCTACATGCATGTTCACAACAGCATTATTCATAATTGCCAGAAAGTGGAAACAACTGAAATGTCCATCAGCAGATGGATGGATAAGCAAAATGTGGCATATCCATACAATGGCATATTACTCGGCCATAAAAAAGAAGGAAGGGCCAGTACGTGCTGTCACATGCAACTGCGTACAAAAGGCCACGTGTTATATGACTCTGTTTATATGAAATGCCCAGACCAGGCAAATGCATAGAGATGGGAAGTAGATTAGTGGTTGGCTGCACCGGGGCAGGGGCAGGGGGGAGGTTGGGGGTTGGGAAAGGACTGCTATCTTGTATGGGGTTTCTTTTTGAGGGGATGAAAATGTTCTGGAATTAGTAATGATGGTTGTACAGCCTTTGAACCTATTAAAAACTACTGAATTGTACACTTTGGAAAAGATGACTGTTAACGGTATTTGAATTCTATCTCAAAACAAACAAAAAGTGATGGGAAGCCATGAAAGGGTCTGGCTTTGCTGGGATGGAGTCCTTGAGGGAGGAGAAGCTCCGTGGGGTCACTGTGAGGGCTGGATGAGATAGGAAGGCCAGGCCGGGCCAAAGTGAGCCTCAGTAAATGGCAGCCACACTCCCAGTTAGAAAAGGGCTTCACCGGTGGTGACAGGTGAGCAGCAGAAAGGGCAGGAGCGGCGACAGGGAGCAGCAGCGGGAACCCAGAGGCTGGTAGTGAATAGCCCAGGGAGCCCTCAGGCCAGGGAGGAGCCTCAGGTGGGCGGTGTAGGGCTGCAGAGAAGCCTGTGGAATCTGAGGTGTGCGGCTTGTGGCACATCCCTGGGAAGGCTCTGAGGGCCAGTGCCTGGAGCATTAGCTACAAGCGGTGCATCGGGGCTGCCTCCTGCTGGGCGTTCCTGCCTTTCAGCAAAGGACCCACAAGGAGCTCCCCAGAGGGCCTGGCCACCCCGCTCGGCCCCAGCTCCACCCAGTGTGGGCAGCGTCTCTAGGAACCCTGCTGTGGGTGAGCCCAGCTGTCCATCTTCCCAGACACATCAGCTGCTTCCTCTGTTCACGGGTCCACACTTGTGGGGTCATCCCAGTCCTCCCCAGCTTCTGACAACAGGAATGGTAAACAGAATCAGAGCAGCCTGCATTTACTGAGCCCTGAGCATGTACCAGGCACCGCCGTATATCATTTGTTGAGTTCCCACAATTACCTGGAGGGGAGGATATTATTACTTCCATTTCGCAGATGATGAAACTGAGGCCAGGGAAGTGAAATATTAGCCTAATAAATGCCTTCCCCTCTAGTTTTTTGTCCAGTTCAATGCCTTTCCCTAAAAATTAACCAAGTCCCCCAACCCCTAGTCTCTACTCCAAGTTGGGAAGCAGGCCTGGGCGGGTGACACCATCAGATCTGGGCAAGGTGTTGGGGGAGAGGGTGCCATGTCCTCTGCTCAGTGGGGTGGCAGCAGTGGACCGAGGGCACCCATTCTGACAGGCCTGGCTTCGTTGCCATGTGATTTTGAATAAGCTCTTTGACTTCTCTGAGTCTCGATTTCCTTATCTGAAAAATGGGGCAAATAGAATTATAGAACTGTGAAAGTCAAGGCCAGGTAGCGCCTGGAACAGAGCCTGGCACACAGGAGGTGTTGCTGGCGGAAGACGAAGCAGCAGCCTTCATCTTTAGCATGAGGATGTCCTTGGGAGGTGGTGACTGCCCAGCCTTGGGGACTGAGTCGGGTTGGGGCGGGGGGCGAGCAGGATGAACAGCGTCTCTGCGCTGGGTTTGTCTGTCTCCCCGCTCTGGCTGATTCTATGTCGCTCCCCATGTATTTCAGGTGGTGGCAGTGTACCCCTTTGTGGCCAGAAGCAGCCATGAAGTGAGTCTGCACGCAGGCCAGCTGGTGACTGTCCTGGAGGCCCAGGACAAGAAGGGGAACCCGGAATGGAGCCTCGTGGAAGTGAACGAGCAGCGGGGCTATGTGCCTTCCAGCTTCCTGGCCAGGGCCGGGAGCCCAGCTCCATGGGGCTGGAGTGTGCCCTCCTAGGGTGCCCGCCACGGAGCCCATGCTGCCAAGGGACGGGGAGGCTTAGATGCTAGGACCCTGCGGGGGCGGAAGGGAAGATCAGGCCGAGGTAGGGTGAAGGGCAACCAGAGAGGTGGGTGGGCCTTGCAGGAGTGCCTGGCATGGGTGAGCAAGAAAGGCTCCAGCCAGAACCGCTCATCAGGTCTGCAGAAAAGGTGGTTCCCATCTGAAGTCACAACAGCCTGGATGGCAGGTCAAGGTGATGAGAACTTGCTGTGGCTTATGGCCCAGCTTACCTGTGCTCTCATCTAGCCCTGCCCACCAGAGTGGGTCACCCAGGTGAATGTTACCTGTGTGCGATGGGGTTGCGGGGAGGGGGGCACTGGACAAGTCCAGAGCTGCCTGGCCTGATGGTTCACTCCCTCCATGTGGCATCAGGAGACGCCGCAGCCGACCCACACTGGTAGCTGAATTATCTTGGGCAGTGAACCCCCTTGGAGCCCTCTCTAGCTGAGGAGAACAGGCTTGTGAGGGCAACGGAAAGGTTCCCAGGAGATTCTTGGCTGAGTCTCAGAGCAGGTGTGGCCAGGTCACAGTTCTGGAATGTGTTTAGGCAAATCCAGAGACTGTTCCAGGGAACGGGAGATTTTGAGGGTGTGTTACGTGGGGCGTATGAGGCTGTTGTGTTCTCTGGACTAGGGAACAAAGGGCATGCAAATTGCTTAGGCAACTCTGTGCAGCAGGTGATCAACAGCCTGGTGGGTGGGGGAGCTTGGGTGTTGGCTTGCTTTCCTGTTTCTGGAAGTCAGGAGCCAGCGGGATCCCCGGGTGGTTTCAGGGCCTGGAGGCGGCAGGTGAATGTGATGTCAGTTGGCTGTAGGGCCTTAGACAAAGGACACAACCTCAGTTTTCCCATCCACAAAGACCTAACTCAGAGGTTTGTGGTGAGAATGGCCTGAGGGAAGCTCCTTGTAAATTGTGAAGTGTGATACAAATGTAAATTGCCACTGGTAGCAGGATGCACCCGGAAGTGGTCTCAGGATGGCTCCAGTCTCCACCGGCCCAGCTGCAGACAAGCATGCGTGCTGCTGCTGGCCCTGCCCAGGCCATGGCAGACACTGGGAATCAGTGTGGTGACCTTTCCCCTCAGCCCAGGGGCACCTCAGGACCCTTCTCCATGCTGCGTTCTAGGTAGCCAGTCTCTTGAACTTGGTGAGATCAAACCCATTGTCATCCCTTTCTAGGACCTGGAAATGGAAAAACAGTTCCTGTTGAAGGCAGACTGACCCAATGGGGCCATTTTAGGTGCACCCACTGTTGAATCATCCTCTCCAGGTTGTCAGTTTAGCTAAGATACATCTCAAGATTCACAGAAGTGGGAAATGGTGGTCCAGTCTGATCTGTAATACAAATTATATATTTGGGGACCGACCCAAGTTGCAGAGTGTGGGGGAAAATCCAATGGTAGTTTAGACTTATTTTCAAGAACATCTCCATGGTATTATAACTGTAGTGCCTAACGCTGTTAGCTCTGGCTTTTGGAGGGCTTTGAAGAAATATATACATGCCTGCGTGAGATCTTCACCCCACTCCTCAGCTTGTAAAAGTGGGAAGATGCATCATGCAAGAGAAACTCAGTCCCCACCGGCCCTGTCCCAGCACCAAATCCACTCTATGAGATGCTCTTGACTCATTTTCCTTTCTTTTTCCTACTCAGATTTCTAATACAAATAGGAGGCATAGGGGAGCAGATAATAATATAGGAAATCCATTTGTGGGTTCCTCAGTGCTTACTGAGAATTTCCTGTGGACTAGAACCCCAGCTCAGGTTTCTCAGCCTGGCTGCTTGCCAGTTCCCCATCCCCCCACCCACACAAAGATTGTAATAGAGTTGGTCTGGGGTGTGGCCAGGCCCTCAGGAGCTCAAAAGCTCCCCAGGTGCTTCTGGTGTGTCACCAGGACTGGGGACCTCGACCCTAGACACGCAGTAGTGTATGAGACAGGCCTGCGGTCAGAAGCGGCCACCAGCTGTAAGCTAGGATGTGCCCCTTCTGAGTTCTGTCCTGGCTCAGATGTTTTGAACAGGCAGTTTTAAAGGTGCTTTGAAAGAGGACAGCCTGTTCTGTCGGTCCCAGAATGTATATTTATTAAGTGCCATTAAGAGGGACCTGAACAAAACTGGATGTTCTTAAAGGCAGAAGGGAGAAACCTGGAATATACTTGGAACCACATCTATCTCACGAGGGAAAAATGAAAATGTCTTCAGTAGCACACGGGTTGTGGTTTCTTGTAGACCAGGGAAGGAGGTCCAGAGTCACCGACGGCTAAGAAAATGCATGTTGAGAGAGAATGGCCTGGATTTTCTCCAGGGGTCTCTATGTACTGTGCCTCCCCCCACCCCCACCCCCGCCCCGATGCCTGGAGCCGTTGCACTGTCTTAAGTATTGCACTTCGGGGCTGCCACATACTGAACTTGCTAAGGTATTTGCCTGGGAACCCAACAAGGCTGATCACCAGGGTGGCCCTTGCTCCCTGCCACAGGGTGCGACCTCTTTAACCTTTTGGGCCCAAGCCCAGGTTTGAACATGAGGACAAGGTTACAATATGGAGGAAAGATGAATGAAAGCCTGCTTACTGTGAGGAGCTCTAGCTTGGTGAATCAGTGACGAACCATGGAGAATAAAGGACTTCAAAGATGAAAATGTCTCTGGAGTTTGCGGAACTCTAACCATTGGATAGTCAGATGCCCCAGTGTGACAGGCGCTCACTGGACACCTACTGTTCATAAAAATGGGACCTCGTTTGTTCATGCATTCATTTTTTTCTTTTTTAAAAGATTTTACTTATTTGAGAGAGAGCTCGCGTGCACACAAGCGGAGGGGTGGGTGGGGAGAGGCAGAGGGAGAAGCAGACTCCCCACTGAGCAGGGAGCACAACTCAGGGCTCAATCCCAGGACCCAGAGATAATGACCCGAGCCAAAGGCAGATGCTTAACCGACTGAGCCACCCAGGCGCCCCTCATGTGTTCGTTTGATGAGGGTCTACCACACACCTCTGATGCCTCTAGGAGTTGGCCTCGGCTGCTGGGATACAGTGAGAAGTCAGATGGGGGCCTTGTCCTCCCAAAGCTCACAGTCTGGGGAGGGAGACGGACAAGTCAGTAATCTGTCACATGCCGTGTAGGTGTTAGAATAGGGCAATGACAGGTACCACTGGAGCCCAGTGGAGGGGTCAGCCCCTAACTGACACTGGGCAGCTAAGGAAGGCTTCCTGAAAGAAGTAATATGCGAGCTGAGGCTTAACCGGTAACTTGAGTAGGGTGAAGGTGGGAGGGAGGGCACATGCAAAGGCCCAGAGGTAGGCATAAGCATGTTTCATCAGGGAACCAAAATGCTGTAGAGCTAAAACACAAGGTGTGTGGAGGAGTGCTAGATGTGGTAAGAGATGGCTTAGAGATGTCTGCATGGGAAGGAGCTCTGAGTTGTATTCTGAGGGCAGTGGAAAGCCACCAAAAGGACTGAAGTGAGAGGAGGGACATGCCCAGGGTCGTATTTTAGGATGCAAGCTCCAATTCATTCTGGAATTTCCCCAAGCCTCTGTCACATGGCTCAAGGAATAGATTTTCAACACACATTGCTTATATGAACATCCCAGAGGGGATGGGAAGCCCTGCCTCGAAGGACTCTCCCCGCCAGCTGGAGAGGCAAGACACACGGGCATCAGGCAGTTACCTGGTACCACAGGGCAGGATGCTGTCAGCCCCAGAGTGGTACTATGGACCAGGATTTTAGGTGGTCAGGTAAGGGGGAGTTTGGGGGGCTGAGGTGATCAGGGAGGCTTCCTGGAGGAGGCAGGGCAGGTGCTGGGCTCTTTGGGATAATTGGGATTGGGGAAAGCAAAAGGGAAAGAGAGGCCTTCTTGGGCCTAGGGAGGCGGCATGGTGGTAGCCCCGTCCTTGGCCTTAGAAATCCCAAGCTCAAGGCCTACTTAACCAGAGACAGGTAGCAAATGCACGTATTATGGTTTCTGCATGTGAAAAAGTATGATGAGGGTCCCCAGCCTGCCTTGTCCTCTAAAAGTCCTCCTTGTAGAGTCCTGGCTTATCCCAGCGAGCCACTGGCTCCCTCACCGGGACCTCCCTTCCAGCGTGGAAGTCACTGTAGGGCCTGTTGTGGCAGGACAGAGCCTCAAGTACCCGTGCCGGGGTTATGGAAAGAGCAGGATTCCACTCCCATTCCTGGCAATATCAGGAAGAACAGGTAACCTGAACAATCCATTCAATTAACCTTGCTCATCTGTTTTGTCATTGGTAATTTCTGAACTTACCTTTTCTGTTTTCTCATCTGTAAGATGGGTACAATTCCTGTTCTCACAGGGTGGGTGAGAGGATTAAATGGAACAGTCAGTGTGGGTGGTCATGGATGACACGGCACCAGGAGCCTCACTGCCACGCCATGACGGAAAGTGTGAGCTCTGGCCACCAGGTGGCAGCGGGGCTCTACCAGTCTGCTGAGGGTCTGCCTGAAGTGCCCGTGGGGCTGGGCAGGGGGCGCAGTGGAGCTGAAGGACCAGATGAAAGACATTAGGGAGTGGCGGGGACTGCGTTGGCCCAGAGCACTCACCCATGGTCCAAAGGAGCTAGTAGCTTCCTGGCTCCAACCAACATTCCACATCAGAATGAAGGCCCAGTGGTGCCAGACATTCTGATTTTTCAAGAGAAGCCAGAAACCAGGGTTTTGTCTGTATTTATTTATTTATTTATTTAAAGATTTTATTTACTTGTTAGAGAGGGAAAGAGAAAGTACAAGCACGGGAGGCATACAGGGAGAGGGAGAAATAGACTCACCACTGAGCAGGGAACCCGACGTGGGGCTCGATCCCAGGACCCTTGATCCCAGGCAGATGCTCAACTGACTGAGCCACCCAGGTGCCCCTGTTTTTATTTTTTGATGTGAAATCTGTGTAGGGATTGTGTGGGCCATGACAGGCTTCCCTTTGTATCTTCTGGCCGAGTGTGGGTG